TCAATGCTATACCTACGCTGGCGAGTCCACGAGAAGCAGCATCTGGGCTTCCAAATACACGAAGTGTGAATCGAGTTGGTTCTTTGTTTACACATGGTGATGTCAAATGAATGATGCTACTCGGATCCTGTATACGCGTTTCGGAGACGCAGCATATATCGATGGCGCGAGATTCTAAAGTCCTAGCTAAGCAAGCTTGTTGTCCTATTTGGCACAGTGTTCGGACGTTATAAGCTCCAACATGAAGTTTAGAGCATGGTTTCAGGAGACCAGGAATAACGTCCCGCGTACTCGAATCGTTTTCCATAGTGGTGCTAGGCGATAAAGGGACGTGAGAAGGGTTAGTCGTGGAGATAAGAGATGTATTAGGAGGTGTAGGAAAGATTTGAATGTGACCAACTTGGTCTCGTGTGCTGTTACGGGTATGAGGGCTGATATCACTTCCCGGCTTCCCACACCGTGGAAGGGTATTTCTTGAGGAACCTGAAAAGGAAGTTGGGTTAATGTTGGCTTTAACGACCTGGGAGCGTGACCGCAGAGCCTAAGGGACAATTGCTTGAGGTCGTTCGCGCACGGCCTTTGTGTGAGAGGTTTTTAATGTGTTAGTTCTGTTCTTCAAAGGGCCTTACCGCCGGAGACGGAAATCCGTGAGGTAAGGTGAGGTGTGACATTTTTCGAGTCGACCTTTTCTAACCCCTTTCTTCTTTGTGAGAAGATGCTGGTTGTCCGAGGGAAACACCTTACTACTGTCACATCCCACTACAGTCAGCAGTACGACCTCGCCCTCAGACCTAGAGTTGCTGCTTTTAGTCTTACCGTTCTCAAATCGACCTACCTGGCATGGTAGAACCTACAGGAACATATGTTTCAGACAATATAGATCGGTTGGGTCATGACGATAGGCAAGCCCGACCACCGCGTCAAGGTAGCAGCTACGGTCGGGTGCTTTGGTGACACTATTCCTTTGCTGCATCTCAAAAATTTTTTCTCTAAACTCTTTCTTGCATTTATTACACCATTAAGTTTTATTTCAACTATCTTCCATATTAATAATCTTATTTTATCAACTGAGCTCTACTCATTTTATTTCTATCAATGTTTACTCATTATGTAATCACTTGTTTCTAGCCGTTTGAATAGTTGTCACAATTAATGTTGTAGAGTGTTCTTTCACACATGGTATATACTTACAATATTCAGTCTATTAATTTTATTTAGACCCTTGCTATACTATACTAATATGTCTTCAACATAACTTCCAAACATGCAAGTAGTTTAAACCCACTATGTCATTATAATTTTAAATATCACAGGCTGTAAGCAGCTGACGAGAACCTACAAAATAAAATGAATCCATGTTATTCTGCTAGAATCTTTGTTCTTGCTCTTTTCAAGACAATAAAGAGAACTATGTGTATAAAATGAATTGTCTCAGAATTGTGGAACAGTTGTTATCTTAAAGATAATAGTTAATTAAATATTCATGGATCTAGTATGTATTCATTTTTCTATCTCTTAACGAAATTATTACGTAGTGTGTATTTGTATCAGAAAGATCAAGTGTATACATTCGATAAACTTTATGTTGCTTAGAAACTCATTTCAGTGCAGTCAATCGAGATTATAATATTTGCATTGGTAGTTTGGAGAGATTTTTTTTTAAATTCAAAGATAATTTTCCAGTGTATTGATATCAGCAAGGGAAATCAATAAAAGAACAAAGTTGTGTTCATCCTACCTTGAACGTTTTCATCGTTCCTCTGAGATTTGAAAGTAATTAAACCTAAGACTTTCATTTGATTCAGTGAGTAAGGTACTTACACAATAATCAATAATCATACGGTTTGAAAGTTAATCAATGTTTGAATATTGAACTAATATCGATTTATGATAACAGTTTTTTATAGGCATATTCACAGTTAACTACTATGTATAACAAGTGTGAAAAGACCTATTCCACATATCAAAAAATTAACCAATAAACCTATATAAATATCCTTTATCAGATTTCCCTTTATTCTAAATCTTTTAGGTCACCATTAAATAATTAAAAGCTAAATGATCTATTTAAGATTGATCTGGAAAGTAACGATAATGAATATATACAATCATATATTTTTATTATTAACAATGAATATACAGGTCACGATAATGCCAAGAGGATAAATCATCATCATTATCATCATAAGTTTATAGATTATTCCACATCATGAATAAATGGATCATATATATGGAACATTTAAGAAATTTACTTTTGATATGTTCCCTAATTACATACCTAACAAAGATCCACCTGAGCTACAAATCTTCTCCACCATCTCAATATCATGTGATTTTGTTTCTCCTATAAGACGTTTGCATTCTTTTTATTGGGTTACCATTATAAGTGTTTATTACTTTTATTCAACAACAAAAAAAGGAAAGAAACAAACTAATAATTATATTATCTTCAATGATTTTCAATAGAATTTTCATACTTTCCTTTACATTATGGAATATGAGCTAAAATTCATTACATTATTACTGACTTATTTATGATTTGCTTTTCTCTAAATGGTCGCTCATTATTTATTGTACACCTTGCGTTTCATTTTTCTAATCGCTGCTATGATTATCTTTCTAATGCAGTCTCTTTTTAATGAATTATTAATGACCATATTTAAACTAGATTCATGGAATTTGATTACTAAACATGATATTAGTGAATACACAGTGGTCAATCATTGTTATAACTTGTGATCGCCGATTAGAGAGCAGTGACTTATCGATCGGATCAGTGACGCATAAAACACATGCGAACAGTCTAGATTCCTGATTGGTTTTGCTTTCCGCCTAGCCCAGTAAGTTAAGTCCAGAACACCAATCTCAGCCTCTGCGATATGAATCAGTATATGTCAAACATACTAGGTTTATATACCAATCAAACAGACCACAACGTACCAATAAAATATGAAACAACATTTGTACAAGAATTAACCAGATGTGGCTGTGAATGAGGGAGGTAGTAATTAATATACTGGGTATAACTCAAGAATGGTAAATCGTATAATAATAGTTTATGGGTCAAAATAAAGCTTATAATAAGAGAGATATGAATATGAATAGTTTAGTTACTTAATAATTATACAATAGAAATATATGTTTAGTATTGGTCCATGAATGGATCCCAAAAGTTACCATTCATTATTCTTGTCGGGACATAACAATCATGTAAACGTTTCTGTCTTATAGGAAATCAGTAACTTCTGAAATAGCTCGATGACAATTTGTTTGACTGTGATATGAATAAGCGCATGTCAGATTCCTCAAGGTTACAGATACGCCTTGCTCACGTATGTCAACTAAGATAAAACTAAAGTTGAGAATTTCTTACTGACTATTCTCAATCACCTCATATCAAGTATGCAGAGTTAAAACATTTCGACTAGTCCAGAAACATCGCAAATTCATTGACAAAAATCTATCAGAATATAGTGTGAAGAAAAACAAAACAATGATGATATTAGTTAAGAATAAATGATCAATAAATTTAATACAAAGTCTTGTATAGTTCTAAATTTATACTTGTAATTTTAGATAAATTTTTAAGGAAGTTTCATGTTTGAATTGGCTTGTTGTCTCTATCATCATTCAATGATTGTTTTAAATATTTTAGGATTAGGATAAATCAAACACAATAAGACGACTAGTTAAAATGCATTACATAACTACACATTACAACACTTGTAGATGCACGTTGTCTAACAGGTAAATATATATTTTCAATAAAGTCATAACTATCTTTAGAATGATAATGTAAAAAAAATGTAAGTTTTATAAAGTTGGAAAAAACATTAAAATCAGAAGGGGTTTGTGGAGATTTTAGAAATTTTCACAGATTGAAATCATGAGTCAGTTGAAGCTAGACCACCATGGAAAACCGTCCAGTGCTTCCAGGTTTTCCATGGTGGTCTAGCTTCAAATGACTCATGATTTCAATCTGTAATCATACAATAGTTATGTATAGGTGTTTAATGATCGAAATGCTGTGTCGTTGAGGGATTTGTTTTTAAGGTTTTGTAACAAACTATAGGATGTTAACTCTGTATGTTATACATGATATTATTCATCTTATATTAATAATATAACTCTTGAGAGATTGTAAACCACTTGAGTAGTATTCTATAAACGGTTCAACTGATATATCATGATGTGAATAATGAATGCTAACTGTTGGAATCCATTTATGGACTCATACTATACATATAGTTTTATTGCATAAATGTTAAGTAACTAAACCATGCATATTCATGTTTCTCATATGATGAGCTTTATTTTGACTGGTAAACTATTATTATACGATTTACCATTCTTGAATTATTCCCTGCCTATCAATTACTATCTTCCTTATTCACAGCCACATTTATTTAAATCTTTTACAAATGTTGTTTTCTATTTTTTGGTGCGATGTGATCTGTTTGGTTTGTATATAAGCCCAGCATGTTTGAAATATAAAGATTCATATCGCAGAGGCTGAGATTGGTGTTCTAAACTCAACAGTCGGGGCTAGACAGGAAGAACGACCGACATAGACTCTAGACTGCTCGTACGGGTTTACGTGTTATTGGTTCGATCGATAATTCACTGTTCTCTAAGTGGTGGTATCATTACGTCACATATTGATAGGGGCAGAAGGCCACAAGTGATAACATCAACTAATACCAGTTTACAATATCTGAATTTAGCAATTATTCTAATGAACTACCTATATCAATTTTCTAATTTCATTGGTGTTTCTAGTTAACAAAATGACTCACTGAGTAAACTTAGTGCAAGTGTTTCATAATTGAAGTAAATGTCGATGAAAAAGCAAACTGTGGTTCTATATCAAAAGATATATTGAACATATTATCATAATAAATTGTGAGTTATTTTAAGGAAAAGAGATAAAGCACAATACAAAATTGTTATTAATTACCACATTCTTTGTTAATTGCATAATTCCTAATCTTTTATTATAGATACACAATCAAGAAATTCCTCCTCACTATCAATAACAACATTGTTAGGAGTACAAGATCCAACGGCATTATCATCATCATTATCATCCACATCATCGTCATCAAGTGGACCAAGTAAATTTAAAAAACGTTTATTTCTTCGTGGACAGACAGTTAGTGCTATTAATTCTCAAACTACGAATGAACAACAACAACAACCAGAAACACCATCAATCGATCAAAAACAAAACAGATTTTTACATACAACACAAAAACAAGTAACTGAAGAAAATCTATGCTCACCATCAAAAAATGAACTGACAGAAATTCAACCACATTTTGTAGAACCAAGTAAGTTAATTCTGAAAAAATTCATTTTTTCATAGTTTACATCATTGGCTGATTTCAGTCAGATCACCATGAAAAACTACAAAATACTGGATAGTTAGTTTGTTCTAGTATAAAACACTCTAAATGGCCATCTGTGATCCCACTAGAACTATTGAGCTGTCATAAAATGATTTACATGACTAAGTTTAATTAATACACAGAATCGTCAACCAATTTTTGAATAATATTAATAAGTAACAGTCTTATATCCGACATGATTGAACATCAGTGCCCACCAAATTAACCCTCCACCGTGGTTTATCAGAACATTAAAATATATATGGCCAAGATATAAAAAAAGAAATGCATGAAAACGAGTAAATAATCGCGAAGTGATTGGTAGTTGATCTAATATTACTTCAGACATTTTGATGTTCCTTAAATCAACCTTTAGAAAGAGAAGGATTCACCATATATACATATAGAACAAGTGAGAAAACAGTAAAATTTGATCTGAAGTAAAATTTGTTCGTTAGTTGAACACTTAATTTTACGTAGTCTACATCTACCATATACTCATTAATTGAAATTTTCACTTTCAGCATCAAAATTATTATCTTCATCAAATTCTTCCACTGATAATAAATTAATCCATTCTACTGATGTAAAAAATATTCAGTCAACAATTGAAGAACGTAAAGCACATTTTCGTGCACAACATCAAATTAAACAACTATGTGAACCGGATATGAAATTTAATGATTTAGTTAAATCAGCTGATACCGATCCACAGAGCAATGAAAATGTTGATCAGACAACTCATTTACAAATGGATTTACATAACTTATCAACTGATTTAAGGAGTTCAATTGAAAGACCTTTGGTAAAGGTTAATCCATTGTTATGGTAAGAATTTGATTGTTATACTGCTTAATCACTAATAAAAAGGCTTAATTTATTAAAGAGATTTTTTAGAGGTTATTCAATCTGGTGTTCGTATCATCAATCAATCTAACAGGATAATTATTGTAAGCGAAATAGAATCGGATATCTCTTTCAAACTAATATGCGACTCTTTATTAACACGTACCTACTATCTCAGTGTAGACAAAACCCATAAACTCCAGGCTTTGTGGCAATCATAGTACAGTGGACTGGCTTCTTGTAGCCGACGCTTTCAATTTCATTCTGCTTGTGTAATTGTATGGACACCATCTATGGTCAATAGGAATGACTTTTTCACTCTTGAGATGTTTGAAACCTGTTGTTCACAGTTTCTCACTAGAACATTAAGAAAAATTCTTTAAATTAGTAACAACATAATTGTTATAAGTATAAACAGATTATTAGGAATATTGAGGTTATAGTTTACATCAGAGCCTGACTTAAACTGGGCAAGCTCTAAACATTATGAAGAAATAAATTGCTGTTTATTGTACCTTCTAGGTATACAATTAAATAACGTCGATCGTGAGGTACTATCAATATCGACTGTTCAGTTTCATCGGTCAGATTAAATTAAACCCAATAGTAGCTAACCGTTTCACTGATTTAACGCTGTCCAATAAATAAACACCAGACCTAGACAAATAGCTTTCTTATGATAACTTACAGAGCACAGATGGTCAGCGGCGGCTTAAAAAGTTCAGTGGTTACATTTCAGTAAACCAAATGAGTGATGTTGGTTTAAATTTCACAGTGTGCGTTAGTTTCATCAATATTTATAGGTATACCTATTTAATGAATTCCACATGACAAAAAATCTAGCTTTCACGTTTTCTAACGATTATTCCTAACTGCACAGTATTGAGTCATTTAGAATATCGGTCACATCTTAAATTGATCGACTGAATTTAATTATCACTAAGATCTAGACAAACATAACATTAGTTGCTAGTCAGTAGTTAATCAAAATAATTGACAATAAGCAAAATAATTGTAGGGAAAGTGATTTATTTTGTGATATGCTGAATGCTTGAACCTAATTGCATCCACTTCCGTATATACTGCCGAATAGTATGACCAGATATCACCAATAAAATGTACGTATTTCATAAAAACATAACTAAAATAACCCATTGTATTGTAGTGAACAGAACACAGGTGGGGACAATCGAATGTATTCAACACACAATTACAGGACTTGTTAGTAAAATCTAACATTAAAATAGTAAATGCTTAATTTGCAAAATGTCCACCAATTGTCTCAAAAGGACTCAGACTTGATTGTTCTTGCATTTTCATACAAACTGAATCCTATTTCCATTCTTTACTGTTCGATCGTCTTGTCTCTCTGCTGCCAGACCTTCTGTTCACGACTAACATCATATACTACTTATGTCAATATAAGTAGCACACACCACAGTATCAATGAATTAAAATAAAGAGAATTCAGTGGAGATTTTCTTTTCTACGAAATCATTTGCTCAAGCTGTACATTGGTATTTATAGTTGTGTGATAAATATATGTCTATAAAACGATAGGAAAGAATGTATTATAAAGTGATCGATAGGAGATCGAATTAAAAACGTATGCACTGATGAGGCGTTGGTCATCCACCAACTCAAGCCCAGACTCTGAATGCAAAAACGATACTTCGGGCCTGTCAACCTTCCTTGACCTTGATTCCCTTTTGTGGTATGGTTTGGGATATTATTATTATTATTATTTGATTATTTAAATTGGTTTGTTGTAATTCTAAACAGTAATCAGTTTCTATTATTACGACCTTTATGTTTTGTTGTTTTTTCTTCATATCTGTCAATTGGGCAATTATCTTTAATAATTCTGACCTGTAAATTAATTTCAACCTTACATTCTTCTCTAATAACTCTGCCTGTAGCTCTTCTAGACTTACTACTGGTCACGAGCCCACACAAAGAAGGAGAGTCGGGTATGGGGTCGGTAACCCAATCTCGTAGAAAAATATCTTGCTAAAAAAACGCCAACCAGATTAAACAAATTAAAGTAAGTAAACTCTGTCCTCCGAGTTAAAAAGAATTATCACGCCTCACAAGGAAAGCCGAAATTCTCCGGAAGTTACGAGGCCGATGCTCCTTCTAACAACCAGAGCAAAAATTAATGTAGGTGTATGAAACGTCCCGACAATGTTCAAGACTGAGAGAACCAGTCAAATAGCAACGGAAATGAGGAGATACAACGTGGCGGTTCTCGGAATCATTGAAACCCGTTGGACCCAAGCTGGACAGCAAAGGCTAGATACGAGAGAGATGCTGCTGTACTCCGGTCACGGTGAGGAAAATGCTCCACACTCAGGGAGTTGCTCTGATGCTATCCAAAAAGCATGTAATGCACTCATAGGATGGGAATCTCATGGATCTTGGATCATCAAAGCATCTTTCACAATAAGGGAGGGAATCATGATGAATGTTGTCGAGTGTTGTGCATCAACCAATGATAGCAACAACGACAATAAGGATCAGTTTTATGAGAGGCTGCAACCAATCATAGCGAAGTGCCCAAGAAACGAATTCATCATCTTGATGGGAGACCTAAATGCTAAAGCCGGACTAGACAATACCGAATAGGAAGATATCATGGGATGACGTGAACTGGGAAAGAGAAATGAAAATGGTGAGAGATTTACAAACCTATGCGCACTCAATAAACTGGTTATAGGCAGCACAATATTCCCACACAAAGGCATACACAAAGCTATATGTGTCTCACCGGATCACACTACACAGAACCAGATCGATCATCTTTACATCAATAAAAAATTCAGAAGGACAATGGAAGACTTGAGAACCAGGAGAGGAGTTAAAGTTGCTTCAGATCCCCACCTGGTTGTGACCAAGATGAAACTGAAGCTAAAGAAATATTGGACGGCTGGGAAAACAGCAGCACAAAGGTTTCATACAGCCTTCCTACGAGAAACTGACAAACTCAACAAATTCAAGATAATTCTCAACAACACATTCCAGGCCTCAAAGAGTCTACTAAAAGAAGAAGAAACTACAATGGATGTCAACTAGAAAGGGATCAAATAAGAATCAACTCCAACATATCTGGAGGAGCTCGGCCGCAAGAAGCATCATAATAAGGAATGGATCTCTATAGGAACTCTGGACGAGATTTAAAAATGGATATACAAGAAGACAGCAATTAACAACAGCCAAACATGAACAGAGAAAGTCAAGGCACTAGCTGAATACATAGAAGCAAACAAGCAAGTGAAGAGAAGCATTAAAGCCGACAAGCAGAAAGACGTGGAAGAGCTAGCAACGGCAGCGGAAAAAGTTGCAAGACAAGAAAATATCAAACAACTGTATTGACAGGACGAAGAAACTGGTGGGGAAATATGGTAAAGCAGAGAGATCGGTCAAGTATAAAAAAGGCAAGACAACAACTGAAATTCAAGGACAGATGAACAGATTGGTAGAACACTTCGAGGAACTCTTGAATAGACCAGCTTCATTGAATACGCCGAATATCGAAGCATTACCACAGACCTTCCTATCAGTGTCACTCCACAGACGACGGAAGAAATCAGGATGGCTACCAAACAAGTCGAGAGTGGCAGAGCAGCAGGACTTGACAATATACCAGCTGAAGCTCTGGAGTCAGACTTAGAAGTAACTGCTTGAATGCTTTACGTTCTATTCAGGAAGATTTGGAGGAATAACAAGTGTCGACGGACTAGAAAGTAGGACACCTCATCAAGAAAGGAAACATCAGTAAGTGTGAGAACTACAGTGACATCACACTACTGTCAGTACCAGAAAAGGTCTTCAATAGCGTTGCTGAACTGGATGAAAGACTCAGTGGACGCCCAACTTTCAGATCAACAGGCTGGATTCCGTAGGGATCGGTGGTGCACAGACCAAATCGTGACACTACGGATCATCGTTGAGCAATCAGTTGAGTGGAACTTGTCACTATATATCAACTTCATTGACTATGAGAAGGCGTTTGACAGTGTGGATAGGGGAATATTGTGGAAATTTCTTCGACACTATGGTGTACCTTAGAAGGTTATCAATATCATTCATACGACGGACTACACTGAAAAGTGGTGCATGGAAGAAATCTGACAGATACATTCCAAGTGAGTAGCGGAGTCGGGGAAGGCTGTCCACTCTCCCCCTTTCTGCACAACAATTGTAGTGCAGATTTATACGTATGTGTTTATTGTAAAGAAACTAGTTATACAAAGTAGGAGAAGTTAGGTTATCATGATCACTAATCATATCAAAATAGGATTGTATGAATATAATATAACAAACAACATTTCAACGTCAGAATCTTCAATATGAACACCAAGACAGTTCCACTATGTGGGGCTGAAACAACCATCGTTGAAATGTAAAGGTATTTATAAACAATCGTCTACGTAAGATACTCAGTGTCCTTGGACTGGAAACCATCAGCAACAGCTTACTATGGGAGAGGACAAACCAAATTCCAGCTGAAGAGGGAATTGAGAAAAGATGTTGAAAGTGGATAGGACATAGATTGAGGAAATCATCAAACTGCATTTTGAGGCAAGCGCTTGCTAACTAGAATCGTGAAGGGAAAGAGAAAAGAGGAAGTCTGGAGAATAGACTACAGCGATAATTCGAAGCAGACATGTAAAGGATGAATAGGAACTGGAGAGAACTGGAATGGATTGTTCGGGACAGGGCTGGATAAGGAATGTTGGTGGGTGGCCCATGCTACTCCACGATGGATAACTGGAGTAAGTAAGTAAATAGTTATTCTTCTCTAATTCCTTTTAATTATTACTCAATCTCATTTGACAATCGGAAGCTCAAATCAATTTATGATGTAATGTTTTCCATCCATCTATTGACATATATTTACCACACCATTATAAATATAAATGTACAGCTTGAGTAAATGATTTCGTCGAAAAGAAAACTTTCTTCACTGAATTCTCTTTATTTTTATTCAGTGATAACTAATAGTTGCATTAAAGTCAGTGGTACCTTAATTTCACATTCTGGACAGGTCGTTTTACTGTGATACGTGTCTACATTTCAAATTCCAGAGATAATAAGTATTCGAATATCTGTTTTTTCAGAAACACTAACTACTGATAAATTTTTTACTCCAAGTAAAACTTCTAGTAGAATAATACTTTTGTTAAGTAAACAATGATGAAGTGTCAGGATGTGCATTCTGTTAAACAATGCACTATATATATTGTTTAAATTTAACTAATTTTCTATACATAGATTATAAAATGCTGAAATGGTTTGTAAATCCAATATAAGATGAGTTTCAAGTCATGATGAAAGTTTACTCTGAACATTGTACTATCATATAAAGATTGTATTATAGAATTCTTTGCTCACAAAGATGTTGTTAATGAAATGGACATTTAAATTCACTAGATATTCTTTTACTTGAATCTTCTCACTGATGCGATTGATCCAGTCCCTTATTGATGTATGTGCACACTGTGTGTATTGCCTCGATATAGCCTTAAACAATACGTTATGAATTTAAACTTTACCCCATTGCATAAGAAAGTGGCTATCAGGACTCAGTGGCTAAATGGATAACGCGGTAGCGTTTTGAGTGAACAGTACTGGGTTCGATTCTCCGAGTGATTATCAACTCTGAGCTGCAGATACATCCAGCTGATGTGTTGTAAACAGGACGAAATGCCTGTCCTGGATTCCACTGAAAGAGATATTAATTTTGTTTTTTTTAAAAGAAAATAAAACAAGAAAAACTTCAATTTAATTAAAACTTGACAATAAGGATAGTATGTTATAGTATAAATAAGCATATGATTTTATTTTGTTTCATTCTTTACAAATACAAGCATTAATCATTCTATAGTGAACAAAAACACAATTTTTTCTTTGAGATAAACGTCAACTAAACAAATTTTCAATAGTTGGAATCATGAGTCAGTTGAAGCTAGACCACCATGGAAAACTTGGAAGCACTGGACGGTAGGTCCTGGTTTCGAATCTCATGGGGGGGGCGGAATCATGGATGCGCACTGTCGTCCAGTGCTTCCAGTTTTTCCATGGAGGTTTAGCTTCAATTGACTTACAGTCTCAACTATTGAAGTAACTAAAATCTCCACAAAACCCCTTCTGATAAACAAAGTTTATCAATTTCCTATCATAATGATTGATTTTGGTCCAATAATTGTTTACATTTGAAATACTTAATTTTTCTAAAATATTTATTATTTTTTCAGTATCATAAACATTGATGTATTTTAATGGAGATTATAACTTTACAATCATTAATTATGCTTATTATTATTTTGTTATTTTTAAATTAAATTCTAGTGGACAACGAAATATTCCATTGATGCGTGTAGTTCAATCAGTTCGTCATACTAAACGTTCTGGAAGTAGTTTAATCATTAGAGAAACTTGGATGGTTCATAGAACTAACAAGGATCCAGTTGTAAGTAAAAGAATGTCATTATTACGTTGATATATATATATATATATATATGTATATATATATATATATATATATATATATATATATATATATATAGTACTTTAGAATATTTAATTCGTAGAATAAGCAATATTACAGGCTTCTGCTTCTAAAACTATAGAAATATGCCTACTATACATATCTATTTTATTATTAGTTTATTTTGTATTTTTTTGATTATCAGTGAGATGTCACTTGTGATTGAACATCTTAGCTTGGAATCTCTAAATAACTTGTTTAACAATTATAAATGACTAACTTATAAAATAATTGGTTCAATATCAGATTATATATTGTAACTTCTGCAATACAATGTTCAGCTCTACATAAAAATGATTAATCAATAGTTTTTTAAGTGAACAGCATTGGGTTCATGTCCCAGAGTAAACATCAACTCTGTGATACAGGTACATCCAGATTAAAGTTCAAAATGGAATGAAATGTGCATCCCGAATTCCACTGCTAGCCACAATCCGTTTTCGCTTTAAAAAGAAATGCCCAAACACGTTGTCTGATAACTTCCAATATTCGGAGATAATTTAATAATTACATTCATATAGATTAAAATATCTAATATAACTATTTCAAGGTCTATTCATCAAAATTGCTGGTGTAACAACAAGTTGGTTTTAAATAGCTCTTTTTTAATTATATACTCTAAACTGTTACATCATTCATGACTTGGATTTGTAGATAGAAAAGTTATAAGCGAAGATGGATAGTGGCTAGCTGTGGAATCCAGAACGCGTGTTTCGTCTTATTTGGGACTCGTCAACTGGAAGTAACGCGCTTCCTGGATCCCACTGCTAGCTACTATCCATCATTGCTCATAATGCTTATGAATCAGGGCAATATCGAGACAATACGCACAGTATGCACATATGTCAATAAAAGACTGATCAATTGCAGTCTTAATCATCAATAGGAAGATTCAAGTAAACCTAGTGAATCTCTATTCTAGTTGTTTAAACTCAATTGACTGTTATTTTATTTACTTAGTTCTAATTTCTCAAGTTGTTTAAAATATATATTATCTATGTGATTGAACATTCCAGATAACTATCTTGAGTGAATTATCAAAATGTTTATGTCATATTTTTAGTTTACTTTGAGATTCTTATGGGAATATACATAGTATGCTTTCATGATATATATATATCAAGGAATCGACTACGCTAAGAAACGAAGGCAGTGAAAACGTCAGATTATATGACTACCATACAGGGTTGTATGACTTCTACAAGATAAATTAAGAACGGGAATAAAACGAACAAACTAATAACTCATTGTAATGTGAATAGAATAATTTAGTTAAAATAATTAATTTCTATTTTATTGATTGAAAATGATGGTTTGTAAGGAATAAGATGAAGTGCTCCCTCGAATAATCAGTAGTACAAAATCAAACAGGATTGAAAAGATTGTTAAAGATGTATATTCAAATACGAAAGAACAATAAACGGTTATATTACTGATAGGCTTATTGTATAGTGAAAACAAGGAATAAACATTTTTTTCTCTGTGAACAAAATTCTGACCTTATGCCACGGTTACTGAAAGCTTTTGTTCTTTTACAGATTTATAAATAAAAAAAGTGTTCCAGATTTTAATGATGTATAATACATTTTGTATAAGAACATATCAGTTCAGACAGCGCACTTTTTGAATAGTCTATACATTGTTTATCCACATTCCTGCTTCCCAAGAGGAGTTATATACTCCCAGAAGCTCGACCCGCCATCATAATAATTCATAGTCAGAGACGCCATTACTTAGTTATTCAACCTATAACAGATCCCTTATAAAATTTAGTTAGAATTTTGGCCAAATCATCGTGAAATCATTAATTCTCTCACTCCTCAAGATGATTCATGCTGAAAAGTTCCAACCAGTATAAAATTTAAACTGATAGCTTCCTATAGACTGTTTCTAACCACGTACTATCAAAATAACTTTTCGAAATACACAATTAATGAATAGAATTCCATCATACACAATATTCATTAAAATCTAATGATTAATTAGTGTAACTTAATGAATAAGTAAATCAGACAAATACTCATTTAGAAATTCCCGGCGTTTTCTTTTCAAATTTAAACAAAAGTTTCTTACTTTAATGTATCCGTATAAAGATCCTGTCTACATAATACTTATTCTAATTTCGAATAGGTAAATACTACAGCTTACTTAATACTGAAGTAAATAGTTACGTGACAAAATGAAACTATTCTATTATTTTATTGATAAGAGTAACTTATTCAAGTTAAACAGTCTTTTTTTTGCTTTTTCATTGACGAATGAATATATGTTTAATAGGCTTTATTAAAAACTGAAAGAAAAGACAAAAACGTTAAGAGAAGTTGATTGTTGTTTTTTGGAACAAATTATAGTCTCCTTTTTAATGTGATTTAGTATACAATGTGATTTCTATAATATTACGTCATCTGAATTTGTTTTCTTGATTGAGAAACATAACTCAACTGAAATGAATTGTAAGCTTCTTTTTGAACGAACAATTAGGTAGGGATAATCAATTTATCATTTGATGCTTACTTACTTACTTACTTACGCCTGTTACTCATAATGGAGCATAGGCTGCCGACCAGCATTCTTCAACCCACTCTGTCATGGGCCTTCTTTTCTAATTCCATTCAATTCTTGTTCATTTTTCTCATGTCCATCTCCATTTCCCAGTGTAATGTGTTATTTGGTCTTCCTCTTTTCCTTTGGCCTTGAGGATTCCATGTGAGGGCTTGTCGTGTGACGCAGTTGAACGCTTTCATCAATGTGTGTCCTATCCATTATTTGATGCAAAATTACATAAAATGTGAAAATCATACATTAAATACTTTATTTGCAAATCTTTCATCATTTATCTCAAACTTCATTACGATTACTCTTTATTTACATTCTCGCACTTTTCAATTCAATCTTTACAATCTTTTACTACTAGACTTTTCATTTCTGATTGGTGTTACATACTACATATGTCGATAGACATAAGTAGCATACACCATAAAGTTACTTAAGTATATTAATCTGCGAATGTTCATTTTAGTATAGAATCATGAATAATCAGTTTGTTCATCCACTTGACCTTCTACCAAATCTTCTGTATCCTCTAACAATATACATCTTAGCATTTTTGAGTAGAGAAAAAAAAAACATTCTTTTACTTCTTTTATTAATTACTTATTTTCTTTCAAGATTATACTCAGAATTTGATTTTAGTATATTAAGGTCAAATCTTAATTACCTTGTTCCGGTTTTTTTTCATTAAGAGTATACTTTGATCACTAGATCACTTTAAAATTGATTTATACAAGAATCACCATGACTATAATTGCATGAATGAATATATCACATGAACTAATATTAAAAATTTAGTCAATAAACATTTAATCTCAGCAATAATAACGCTATGAGCGATTACATTTACAACATTTACAACATAGGTGGTTACATTTTTCATCCAAACTGGTGAATACATATATATATATATATATATATATATATATATATATATATATATATATATATATATATATATATATATATATATATATATATATACAATATGTTCATTCTCTTCTTATTCATTTACCACTGATAATTATATTCGACCAGTAGATAGTTTTTATTATGATATACTTTCAGATTAGTATTCAGTGGGTAATCACAATTGATTGATCACTGGGTGGCGATCAATGTCATGCGTGTCTAGTCCTTATTAGTGCAGATCAAATGCTATCGATCATGTTGCAATATGGCCACCAGTCTAGGTGACTCGACACCCTGGTCCAGGGTTTCCTGTCGACTACCTCCAACCACCATCTAATCATAGTATTCAGCGGGTAACATAACAAGTGACAGTTGTCTTTAAACATTATTCATTTGAATAGAATAAGTTTACAAAGAACCTACTAAGCAATTACAGATTGATTTCAATAGAAATATGATAAATAAAAATTTCAATAGTTGAAATCATGAGTCAATTGAAGCTAGACCACCATGGAAAAACTCTTCTGATATTAATCAATATATACTCACTAATGACTGTCTCCAAGGAGTATTTTCTTGGAATTCTAGTGAGAAACAGTGACCAGTGGAGTTCAACCAAGTCTGTTGTGAGATAGTATCTCACTGATGACGATGGTGAATGTGTTACTCAATTTCATGGATCATTTGAAGTTAGACATTAACACTAGCTCAGTGGTCTAGAGGTTAAGCGTTTGCGCGCGAAACTCATAGGTCTCAGGTTTGAATCTCACGAGGCAAGATCGTGGATGCACACTGCTGAGGAGTCCCATACTAGAACGAGACGGCTGTCCGGTGTTTGCAGGTTTTCCATGGTGGTCTAGCTTCAATTGACTCATGATTTCAACTATTGAAATTACTAAAATCTCTACAAAACCCCTTCTGAAAATAAAAATTTATTGTATATAAACTAGACTTATTAATTTGTTAGATTATTTGTGTAATGTACTGCTTATACCTACAAATAGATACTGTTACTAATTGTATATTTTTATTGTTAGACAAACTATTTCATCCTAATTAAGACCAACAGAAGTATAATATGTTAGAAATAGAAGATTAAATATTAATAGCAATAATCATAAACTCTTTAGATAAACAATTGGTCTCGTAATTCAGTAATGTAACAAGTAGTTACGTAATGAAGACGTTTGAGCTTGGAAAATTTTCTTCTTAAATGACATCATTTTCTTATGTTTTACAATCGTATTTATAAGTGGTTTCTACATACAGTAGTCTACAATAAAATGGGAATGTGCTACAAAATTTTCAATGGTAGTCGAACGTATTCATGTACTGAATGTAAATGTTTGTAAAAATGATTTACTGTTGTACTGTTTTTTTTTGATAAATAGTCTATATATAGAAAGGTCAGAATGCGTTTTGTGGAGATCTTTAGAAATTTCACAGATTAAAATCATGAGTCAATTAAAGTTAGACCACCATGGAAAACATGGAAGCACTGGACGGCCAACTCGTCCTAGTATGGGACTCCTCAGAAGTGCGCATCCACGATCCCGCACCCAGCGGGATTCCAACCCAGGACCTATCAGTCTCGCGCCAGGCGCTTAACCAACTAGAACATTGAGATGACACCCAACGGTGTTATACCTCATAAGTGAAACAATAATTGTAACCTTAATAAACAGACTATTGATCATAAGTTAATGAATAAGTTTCTGAGTCGAAATTTCTGCTATTTCACAGATATTATCCATGATCTGAATGGTAGATTTTTATGACTAACATCAACTTCGCATACAAAATCCCTTCACATTGATTTTATTCGTTTATTATTATTATTAAAAATTATAGTTGCGTCGACATTTTTGGCGTCTTGGAACTAAATCAATAACAATGTTTTATCATGAGAAAACAAACCGTTATTTCAAGGTAAGTTGTATTCTTATACATTATCTTATTATTTATATAAATAAATATTTATTTATACAATACCCTCTAAAAAGTTATGATGATAACTTCCTAACACACAAATTAATATATCACTTAGAATGTTTTGATATATCTGTTGAATCGTTACACGCTTTAGAATTATGATCTTGTTCGAAGAACATTAAAAAGTTTAACATAAATAATGTAACATAACTGTCATAAGATTTTTTCTGGTTAGCGTTTAAATGTAGATGTAGAAACCTTCACATAACTGAGAAGCATCATCGATGAACAAGGAGGCTCAGATGCAGACGTAAAGGCGAGGATTGACAAAGCAAGGACCGCATTCCTACAATTGAAGAACATATGCAATTCAAAACAACTTTCAACCAATATCAAAGTGAGAATCTTCAATACAAACGTCGAGGAAGTTCTACTGTACGGAGCCGAAACTTGGAGAACTACAACAACCATCATCAAGAAGGTACAAGTATTTATAAATGGTTGTCTACGCAGGATACTCAACATCTATTGGTCGGATACCATCAGCAACAATCTTCTGTGGGAGAGAACAAACCAGCTTCCAGCTGAAGAAGAAATTAGGAAAAGACGATGGAAATGAATAGGACATACATTACGAAAATCATCAAACTGCATCACGGGGCAAGCCCTAAATTGGAATCCGGAAGGGAAGCGGAAAAGAGGAAGGCCAAAGAACACATTACGTCGTGAAATAGAAGCAGATATGAAAAGGATGAATAGGAACTAGAAGGAGCTGGAAAGGATTGCCCAGGACAGGGTTGGATGGCCAATGCTTGTGAGCGGCCTATGCTCCTTCACGAGGAGTAACAGGCGTAAGTGAGTAACTGTCATAAGATTAGAAGCAATTTGATAATCTTTTTTTTCAATTTTAGATCAAATAGACACAAAAATCTCTAGGCTTATATAAAACTCAAAAATTATTGAATGTTTAGACTTGTCACTCTAGAAGAATTAGGAAGGTGATCTGGTATTAAATGCTTAATTTTTTGATAATACATTCAAATTCAAATCTGAATCTAAAATCTGAAGTAATTCATATGCAAATCTTTTAGAGATTATTATTTTAGCCTTCAGAATATTGACGAATTCCACAATAATACATTATATTTTACACAAAGTTGTTGTACATTACAGTCCTTGTCATATGAAGTATCACCCAACACTACCAGAATAGTTACTTTGATTTTAACCCCTAGGTAAATATGACAAAGGCTAGAATTTAATGGTTGCTTTTACGTCTACATATAGATAACTTTTGTGACAAAGAACAGAAAGAATCATCATCTGGATTTCTAAAGTTACTCAAATGCATCTTGTCTAGCAAGCATTAGGTTTTAAATACAAGTTAGATTTAGTTGAATGAAGCTTTTGGAAGTTGGTTTAATTTGTAGGTTGTATTTGTAATAGTTAGCTCACTAGTGACTTCCTTCATAATTTTCTCATAGTTCTAAAGATACACTTAGCCAGTGGAGTTCAAACATACAGTGAGTGAAATAACTATCAGTTATGGCAATAGCTGATTATCAAGTCATATCTCAGGTCAATATACATTGAAGTTATACCATTGAACTTTTAACCCAATGAACCTAATGATTGAGTGTTTTCCACGAGACTTGAAGGTTCTGAATTCAATGCCTAGCAAGATTTTGGATGACTTAAGTTAAGTCATGAAACGTCAGAAATACAATTTTCTACTCATTAAGATATCCTAAAAATATATTAATTATTAACTTTCTATCCGATTCTCAACTGATTGAAACTATCCAGTCCAACCTTGGCATTGATACTTACAACCTTATTACTTTGAATTACTTTAATTAAATCTTGAAACTTAATTTCATGACAAAAATATTGAATTAATTCTTGAAACTAAAATAGCCATTACTAATGATCTTTTAATGAGAACAACTATACGACTATCTTGACTTTTTGTGAAATAGTTTATGTATAAATTTGGCTTTTTGGTAAATAAAATATACCTTTGTTTCCTGAACAATTGTGATATTGATGGAATGTGTATCAAGAATACTGGTTTGTTAAGAAATCATCATTCATTCAAGCTACACATGTTAACTTTAAAACTAATCAACCATATACACCGTTGCATTCACTGTGTGGTATTATATATTTCAAGAAGCGTCTGTATCCACAAGACTTGTTCAGTCTGAGGCATAAAGCATTTCACCAAATACATATGCGCCACACAAATTTCACTTGCTATGAGTGAGGACTGTGATACTGCCCGGGTGCCCAAACTGAAGCAGGTGGTTTTCTTAGGGGGCCACACCTGGAGTTTTCGACCTGAAGGTCTGGTCCACAAGGCAGTGGAGCATCGTAAGGAGATGCAGTCCCATGGAAGCCGGTGATCAACGATTGGTTCATGCACTATTTGTTCCCTCAGGATACTGGAGCCCATGTGCATCATTGGTTTGGAATCAGGGTTTTTCAACTTCCTTAGGTGGACTCTCTATGTCCACGAAGCCGGTTAAAGCGCCAAACATTCGCTTTTCGTCCTCTCAATTTGGTAAACAACAGTAATGTCACGACAAGGCAGTGAGTGGGACTTCCCTGGCAGAGGCTATATACGCGTGACCATGTGAGAGTATTTTTCGAGGGAGAGCGGACTCTCCCCATTCTCGGCCATACCAGGGCATTCGGGGGCTGGTGGCTCAGCCGGAAGCTATGAAAAACTCAGAAGTCATATTAATTTCTCTAGGAGGATGCCATAAATATAGACTAGGTAAAGCTAAGAAGCCACTGTATGATTCTTTGCAATGGTTAATCAAAGGAATTTCAGGGGTCATCATTTTTGTGTCGTTAGTTTTGAAACAAAATTATTTTCTAATCATACAAATCATAAAACCTCCACATCCAATCAAAACTGTTTCCCATGGGTATAACTAGTCACATCTCATATGGGACTGGTGTACAATAAACTAAATAAATATTCTAATAAAAAAGCGTACACCTGGATATGGTAATTATATACTTTTTAAAAGCACTTAAATCAACCACTATTTATTTCCTATTTATGATCATACCATCATCATTTATTGTGATAAGTACAGAAAAATAAACCACACTTAGTTTTATGTCACTTATATTTATCACATATAATAGATACACATTATTTTTTAGTTAATCCATAAATTCACAACTGATTGATCACCGGGTAGTGGTCAATGTCATATATATCAAGCCCTTCTTAGCACTGACAGAATTCTGTCAATTAAGTTGTAATACAACCGCTAGTATAAATGATTCAACACTGCGTACGCTGTATTGAGATGCAAGGTGATGGTTGAGGATCTGTATCTTAATCTGTATCTGTAATCTTAAGAAAACTAATGCTCCGTGGTGGATTCGTCCTGTCACCCAGATTTGCAATCAGAGATGTTACCATTGAGCCATCTGAACAGAACTGACTTCGTAAAGGACTGAGATGTATTTCTTATTGACTGTAAGACTGAGTGACACGAGATTGGACCCATCAAGTACAGGTACACCTTACTGATGAGTGACAAATAACACGAAACTTAAGTCTAGGGTGGTTTTCTGTCGACTACTTCCAACCACCACCTTACATCATACATATATCTTTGTGTCTATCACTGTTCTTTTCTGTAAATTGACTTCTTATCACAATATATCACCTAGCCCATTGAGTTGATTGTTGTTAACAAATAATCCTATTTTATTCAGACTATTCTGTTAAACATTGTTAATAAATAACTGATTTTTTCATAGTTCTTATTGTAGTTGTTATAATTGTGAAGATAGAAAACAGGTAGTTTTTTTAAAAAACACATTTGTTTTTGTTACTGATATACAGAATGTAACTTGGTAAACTTATTGTTATTAAATAATGGACTGAACTATTTATATTCTTTGTATATATATCATGTTTCATTGTTTAATTTAAGAGAACACACTCTTTAATGATGATGTGTTCATCGCAACTTATTATTACAACATGCTCTTGTTTAGACGATATAGAAGAAGAAGAAAACAACATTTTTTCCCAGACAAACAACTTGCTTTATTTTTTTTTCTTTTACTTGTAAAGTGATTGAAATAATTGGTAAAAAAAGTTTTTCGTATCGTAGTTTCTTTGATGGTATAGTGAAAACTAAAATAAAATCATTGCAAGTCATAAATTGCAAGTATTGGAGAAGAAAGTAGTGATTGTTGGATTTTCTTAGCTGATCTTAGTTAGAAAACAATTGAAAACTCAAAAGCTTCAGATGGATGCTTCACATTAGTATGAAACACCTTAGAGGCGCACGTTCATAATCCCACCAAGAAACAAACTCAAGATTGTAGGTCTTGAGTTCAGCTGTCTCGATAAACTCTCCACATTAAAAATAATTATGTACTCACCAAAGATAATGGAAGTTGGTTGCGCGAGACTACGTACTGACTGAAGTTAGACATATACATCATTGGATGTCTGTGTAGCGGTTCAGGAGTTGATTGCTCTCCTCTGAATTAATGATCCAAAGTTGGAGACAATTTGGGGTCGTGGTTGCATCTAGCTAAGAAGTCCCATAATAGTATGAAACAGCTGTCCAGTGCTTCTGAAATTACATCGGTTGTCTGACTATGATCAACCCAGGATGGAAACTATGAGAGTTATGAATTACTTAACAGTTTACAGTATCAGTACACGTAATTTCCACTTTAACTCTAACTCGTATCTTATATAAAAAATTTCCTACGGAAACCCTAACAAGTTATTTTACAATCAAATCATCAACTTGATCAACTGTTATGTCTGGAATTATAAACTATTCAACTCTTAGTACGTGGTCAGTTTAAATCTCTAACTCTCTGATGTCCAAGTTAATATAAATTATTGGCACCGATTAATCATCGAGTAGTAACCAGTATCGTGTTTGTTTAACATTTAATGCTGACTGAATTCCATCGATCAAATTATAATGTAGCCATAAGTGTAAATGACCTGACATTGCTTGTACTATATTTAAATATTAGGTATTTAGAAGTGGTCAACTTTGTAACTTTCATAACAATAGAGGATGTTATTTTTGTATTCACTTTAATGTTTAACATGTATTACCAAATTATTGTGTGAATACTGGTTAAACTTGTACAGCATTTGATCCCGGCTCAGTGTTTATGTTCCCGGTTGCGGAGTAGTAGTTGAAAACTAAAGGAGATTTCCACACTAGAATGAAACGGCTGTTCGATGCTTTTACATCTTCAGTGTTGTTTAACTTAGATGAATTCGTAATCTAAATAAATTTTAACAATCTTAATTAGTTAGATAAAAGGATAACTCAGTAACAAGTTTCGCAATTAGACTGAAGTTATCAGTAATTTTTTCACATGTACTATAGTGGTACGTGTCATTACTGATAGGAAATGGCTATTTAGATGTCAATACTTTGGAATGTTAACTCATGCCATCAAACGGTTGAATTAATTGCATTGTATAACTTTGTTTTAATAGTTGCGCTAACCAATTATTGCTGCATAGCTTACCTGAATTAGGTTACCGTAAAATATATTTTTTAATTATTTGTTAAGCAAACACAAGATTACATTTTTCATAATATAGTAATCTTTATAGCATTTTTTCACGAATGATATTTAAATGAAATGTACAGCAATAAAAAGTAACTATAAGCAAAAATGGATCGTAGCTATTAGTGGAATCCAGGACGCACACTTCGTCCTATTTGGGACTCATCAGACGAATGTGACTGCAGCTCAGAGTTGATATTTACTCTGGGACTCGAACCCAGTACTATTCACTCAAAACGCCATCGCGTTATCCACTGAGTCCTGATAGTCAATTGCTTGTGAAATATGGTGAATTAAAAAGTGACTTCATTTATGGTCAAAGTATGTAAAATACTGTGACTAAAAAACATATCTTAATGTCTGAATGTTCCGGGTAAAAGATTTTCAATAAAATATTTATTATACTATGAGGAACGTTTTAAACTTAACAGTTATATTTAACAATATTAAATTCCCATTGAAAATTCCAGGAATTCATTTAATATTTATCATCGAAGTATGTCACAATATTCCATTAAGTTTTCTCCATATAGATCCACATACATAGCATTCCTTGATCGAATTTTGATGGTTATTTTAATTAGGTTACAGTTATCTGCAACAACTTCAGTGTTCAATAAATATTCCATATCTAGCACTTTCGGGTAATTTTTTTCTATTCCTTGAATGAATGAGTGCTGAGTAGTGTAGTGTAATTTTTTTCTAAAGATTTCATCTCAAGAGTTTGGAATTATCTACAACTATCTGTTATATTTATGTCACTGTAGTGTACCTTAAAATACAGAATGAAAAGTTAGACCGTAATTATAATCTCGAAGGTAAATTATATATATATATATATATATATATATATATATATATATATAGTGGCTTCGTTATTTCTGTCTTTTGTTTTAACTTATATAACCAACGTACATTAATGAAGATAATGAAATATTTTACTTTCATTTTCTTCTTCTCGTTTTTCATAGGAACTTAATTTAAACGATATCATTTGTTTGGAACCAGCCGGTACAAATCCTTATCCATGGTGTCATCCAAACACTTCTCAGGCTACTACTACTACTACTACTACAATAGCCACAACAAATAATTGTCCAAATATTATTAATAAAAATATAAATGATTGTGATACTCGTTTAAAGTTATTGAATCTTAATGAATTCACTACAAGGTTAATTAAAAATAGTAATAACGATATAAAATTAGATAATTCACCTATTATACCAGATCATGTGTTTGAATTACGTTGTGTTGATGATTTAATTTATTATGTTGGTCAGTTAGGTTATATGGAAAGTTTAGATAATGAAAATGATACTTCATTATTGTTTAAATTACATTCTCGGCGTAAATCACATTTTCCAGCATTGCCATCAGCTGTATCTTATGTACGTAAAGCTTCTGCTCCACTGTATGGTTTAGTATATTTACCTGAACCACCATTACAGCCACCGTTATCATCATCATCATTATTGACTACAGATATGAAATCATCTAATTTCTTAAAAGTTGATTTATCTCAATGTATGAAAACTCAAATGACTGGTAATTGTATACAAGAAAATTCCATAAGTGATGGTTGTTATCGTGCAGCGATTCTTCCACCACCTCCAGGAACTGGTTTAGATTTAGCAAAACATTTAGAAACAGCTATACGTCAATCAATGCTACCTTTAACTTCAAGAACAAGTTCACAGAAAAATATTACAATCAACAATGTAAATTATCAATCTACAAAAAAAATGCAACAACAAGGAGATAAAGAAATCTTGGAACAGACTCATGGTGCACAAAAATCCATGACTTCATCAATTACAAATAATAAATTTATTATACCAAAACTTATGACAATTAATTCATCAATATGTAAAGATCCAGTCAACATATCAGAGTGTTCACAAATTTGTAATGAAGAAGTTGATGAAAAAACTACGGAAATATCAGATTTAGAAAAAGCTGAAGAAGATGATGATGGTACAGGTAAGAGTTAAACTAATACCCAACTGTTCACCAACATCGTATATCTCAGAAATATTAATTTACTGAATGAATAAATTTAATTTTTATAACAGAGAAAATGATTAATGAATCCATAGCCGTGTCAAGGATCTTAGTCATTTATTAACTGAACTATAATAACAATATAAAGTAGATATGCAGACAAACTCTTACATATGTCATTGTTTGAATATATTATACAATAAATTACTCAAATATTTTTCAGGCCTAGAATTAAAGCTTGAATTTGATTAAATAAGCGTTCAGTAGAGATTCTAAATCTTATTATTTAATAGTTGAATTCATGAATCAATTGAAGCTAGACCATCATAGAAAACCTGGAAGCACTAGACGGCATTAACACGTTTGGATACCAACTCTGTGATCTAGTGGTTAAGTTCTCGCGCGCAAGACTGATAGTTCCCAAGTTCGATTCCCATAGGGTGGGATCGTGGATGAGCGCTGCTGAAGAGTCTCATACTAGAACGAAACGGCCGTCAAGTGCTTCCAGGTTTTCCATGATGGTCTGGCTTCAAATGACTTATGAATTCAACTATTAAATGTGTTATTATCAAATAGATTTATACGAATATTAAATGATTGGATAGATTATAGATTTTCCTAAGGTTGAAAACATCTCATGATTAAAACCATCCATAACTAATTACCTTAAACCACTAGTTTTTATTTTGATGTCTCTGAACTATGTAACGTGAAACAAAATATACCATAACATGGAAGTACTGAGATGTAAGTGAACCCAGCTGAAAAATTTAAAATAAAACAAGGTTTGCGACTTTGATTCCATTTTTAATCATTATTCAATTCAATTAAAAACCTACTTTGATCCTGAGTGCATAGAATTTGATGATCATTACGAAATACAGTATGACATACAATATATATATTTTTTAAATGGATCAGTCAGAATGACGTCGCCAATTAAATGGGTTTTTTGTTGTTTCAACGAATCGCTTAAAAAGTACTTTTTTTCAAAATATCAGATTTCAATATTCCTTTTGTATCACTTCACTATGTACATAGTATTAAATTCATAGAAATTTTAAATTTATACAAAACTATGCGAAACGTTAAATGAACCTAAGAATCATGAATTATCATCAAGATAGAATGAAATTTTCATTCGACTAGTTGCCAGAAACATGATCAATATTTGTTCCATTAAATTGTTGGCCTATAGAAACAAAGAAATACAGAATTCCGATATGACCTTCTTCAAGCGTGTTCAAAAAAAACAACACAAAAATTATTTCAGTGAATAATTGTTTTCGATCGCTTTTTCCTCGAGCTCCACAGTTGTAAATCCATAATTAATGTATTATACTATACAAAATTATTTGATAAGATCTATTGCTGAAATTAAATTATGGAAAGATAACATCTGATTGCATCACTGCTGTTAAGTAGCTACTTATCAGTATTTGTAACTTCTTATATACAAAAGGGAAAAGCGAAATTCTCTTATGCACTACCACACTAAAAACTATAAGGCTTGTCATCAGATAGTGACTATGAAACACTATCACTTAGCTAATCGGGCAACAACTGACCATAGGTACGACAGAAATCTTCAGTTGGTTGATTACTGAAAGGTAACCAATGTTGTTTATGTCTAGTCCTTCAGTGATAGTCAAATTCTGTCAGTCAGTATGCTTACAATACATTTTTAAAATAGAATCTTTCTAGAAGAGATTAAGGGTCTGTGAAATTTATCAGTTTAAACCGAATCTTGTTTGGAAATTAATGTTTATTGATAAACTGTTCAACTGGCCAATAAAAGCATTTCAGAAAAAATAATGTGGCCATTCAATTTTGTTATTCATTACTCTGGGTAAAACAAACACTGTAAATCAATTTGAAAGTTTATTATAGAAAACTTGCCTATAATATTTAAAGTAAAAGATATAAACATTTTTTTCAACAAAGTAAACATTTTCATACTTATTTAGAAATATTTTAATATAGCTACTATTAATTTTAGGGCATTTGTGGAGATTGCGGTATGTTTAAAGTTGAATTCACAAGCTAGATCACTATTGAAAACCTGGAATGACTTGATGGCCGTTTCATCCTAGTATGGGACTCCCTAGCAGGGCACACCCAAGATCCCGCCTCCCGTGAGATTTGGACTTGGGACCTACCAGTCCCGCGCGCGAGCGCTTAACGAATACACCAATGAGCCGGCATCCAAAGGTGTTGAAGCTAGACATTAACACCGTTGGATGCCGGCCCAATGGTCTAATGGTTAAGCGCTCACGGGAGGCGGGATCGTGGGTGCGCACTGCTGAGGGGTCCCATACTAGGACGAAACGGTCGTTCAATGCTTTCAGGTTTTCCATGGTGGTCTAGCTTCAATTGACTCATGATTTCAACTAGTGAGATTTTTAAGAATTTGGCTAGTAGCGGTAAATTTACTCATTAAATATATAGTAGTGTAAATCTACACTAAAAATCTTAAAAAATATTATTTAAATGTTTTATCATTAACATATTCGCAGATACATTTTAGAAAATAAACTGACAACTTGGTGCTCTCAATTGTGAGCTAGTTTTGTGTATTCCGAAGCGATTCCTATATAATTCATTTCAGGATTTCTGATGTTATTTTGTTGAAGATCTACATAAAACCACTTTTTTAAGATTAGAGACATATCACTCGATCTATTAATACAGTAGCACTTCTGTTTTCATCAAGAACATGGTTTGAAATATATTTTTGAAGTACTTCTAAATTAAAATTCAAGTGCACTAAACGATGATTTACCAGTTTGAAGGCAATATCTTTATAAGTTATCATAAATATAGAGACAATATTCATCTATCTATATGATGAGCTCAGGACAAGGTGTAATGCTGAGCAGTAATAACGCGCTTTGTTATATGTTATGATATCACATCAACATTTTAGATTATACTGAATAGTAAGTATAATATGAACTTTCCAGGTTTATGCTGTAATTTAGTTTATCGCTAGATTATCAGTACCGATGGAACTTGCGTAAACTAATCCCTTTTTATATTAAACTATATGTTCTTTAGAACTACTTAAATAAATAATAATTGTATATTTATAAGTGAATAATTCTGACGTAGATTTTCTAAGATTTCAATTAGATGTAATGAATTGTTCAGTTGAATTCTCTGATAGTTAAACATTAACATACGGCTACTATCAAGTGATAATTGTATGATATTCATTCAATAATCTTATATAGAGATGTTGATATACAGAAGTGTTCAGAAATCACAAACTATAACAAAACAGATATTCAATCCTTTTTGACCTTCAAGGATTGTTTGAATAATATTAGCCCATGATAAAAAACTATTTCTAAATGAACCTAATAACTCTTAGAAAAAATCTATTCACATTTAGATACTGATCTCAGCATTTTTAACTAGGATTGTTTACAAAATTTATAACTGACTGTTTTAAAATGAAACAAACTATTAAATAAGCTAAAATTACCTCATGTTGCCAATTTCTATTCCATCTTTCTTTATTTATTTACAGGGAGTTCAATAAGTGCTTTTATTGAAAGTAAACAACCTAGTGATAATGTAAGTTCGTACTATATTTTATCCTTTTTTTCTTACTCTTTTCATATGTTAAATAAATTGATTTGTTTATATTTAATAAGAGTATTATTTCATAATAAACATTTATATGAATTCATATTACAAACATGGTTTAATAACTGATCCATTCAATATTTTACGATTGATTTAAAAGTTGATAACTCTTAGTTAAGTTATATATTGAGCCAATAAATTGATTCATTGAATCAGATTACTTGATTGATCTGATATTATTTTCTTTATTTCTACTTCAAGTTGAATTAATATCTCACTTTTTGATTTCTTGTTAAGTTTATTCTAACTCTTTGATTGGTTTAAACTATGTAGAGATATTTCTGACCAACACTTTTATCAGGATTTAATGAACAGTTAACTCGAGGTCTAACAATATTCTTTATTTTTTTTACATAAAACTATCAACTACTTATAAGTAGGTGGAGATGTATTAGTGTTAATTAGTTGTTGAAAATCATTATCAGCCAGAATCAATAACTATTTCTGCCAAACAATAAATTACACTTAACTGGTGTGTCTCAATGTTGTTATCTTTTTTACTAACTTATGTTCCATTAAGTGTTATGTCTGCCAGCTTAGCTACTGTGTACGATACGCGATCGACTGCCAACATAGAATTTGGTTTATGGTCGAGATATCACATTTTGATTAGTTACTGAATATAATAAAATTATCGGAGTTTATCATCCAAATCTTATAAGTAATTAACGACCACTAGTGTTTTCCTAGTAAGTCCAGAGCTATTTATAAATCCTAGACACTTTTCCTCTTAATTCAAAGAGTTATTCCTCAATCTAGACAACCAACTTAAATGTAAAGTTAAAACGGTGATTTGTAAATCATTTACCAATTCTTCAGTTTTGATCAAGTTCTCTCTCATATAAGCTGTTTTCAGTCACTAATCCTACGGTTTTTACGCTAAACCATCATAAGATCAACCATTCTAAATCATATAATATGGTGACCTACAAAGTAAAATACTCTAAACTAACTGAGGGTGCCAGAGAACGAAGTGAGTAATTAACTCATTCGCGGGTTCTACTAGACACATTAACTTGATTTAACATTTTCAATTATTTAAAATTGAGTTTACGAGTAACTTTGTTGAAAATGTTTACCTTGTTATTAATCATTTTCGGTCTTTTGAATTTAATTGAAAGTAATTCTGAGGTGCCAACTTCTGTATCCTTTTATAAAATTTCAGATTATTAAGCAGAATAGTTTTTTATGCTTGTTAGTAAATCTAATTTAAAACAATTAGTCCGTTTTATAAATTTAGATAGAACAATGAGAAGACGGAGTTGATCTGAAAAATGTGATGTATTTACGCTATACATTTCGAACAATCTGGTCATACCATATTAGATGGTGGTTGGAGGTAGTCAACAGGAAACCCTGGACCCGGGTTTCGTGCTACTTGGCACTCGTCAGCAAGGTGTACCTGTAATCTTGAGGGAACTGGTGCTCCCTGGCGGATTCGATCTCGTGTCACCCAGCTTCACAGTCAGAGACGTTACCACTGAGCTATCCGAGCCGTGACTAACCTCCTGTAGGACTGAGATGTAATCACAATTGATTGGTCACTGGGTGGTGATCAATGTCATGCTTGTCTAGTCCTTATTAGTGCAGATCGAATGCTATCGATCATGTTGCAATGTGGCCAGGAGGTTAGTCACGGCTCGGATAGCTCAGTGGTAACGTCTCTGACTGTGAAGCTGGGTGACACGAGATCGAATCCGCCAGGGAGCACCAGTTCCCTCAAGATTACAGGTACACCTTGCTGACGAGTGCCAAGTAGCACGAAACCCGGGTCCAGGGTTTCCTGTTGACTACCTCCAACCACCATCTAATCTTAAGACATAGTGCCCGCAGTGTCAAGTCACCTAGACTGGTGGCCACATTGCAACATGATCGATAGCATTCGATCTGCACTAATAAGGACTAGACAAGCATGAGATTGATCACCACCCAGTGACCAATCAATTGTGGTCACACCATATACTTGTCAGGGTATTTTTATATGAAAATACTAAAGGTCAAACAAATAAAAGTCCAATTAAAATAACTAAGGGGAGAGAAAGAATAAGAAATTGTCGCGTTATCCTAGGCCATGGAATGACTTAAGGATTACCAAGGTAAATTCAAGGTTACGACAAATTGTTTTTCTACACATAAATCATTCAAAACAAATAAGTACCTAAGACTCATTTAAAGATTTAAACTATACTCAACTGATAGACCCCTAGTTCAATATTCTGAAGATTGTTCGGATCAAATTCACCTGGAACTTGATTCTTCTTCTTCTTCTTCTTCTTTAAAAAAAAAGACTCGTTTTCCAGCTATCTCGTATAACATAACTGTGAAAAAATCGATGTGAATTAAGTAATTCTTACTAATGCATGCACATATTATACGTAAGTTCTTACTTTCATGTTATCGTAATCTCTTAAAGTCAACATGCATATTGCAACAAACATTTCTGATCAACGTATGTATTTATTCATATTAATTTGTTCGATGAGAAAAAGAATGTTTTAATTAGTAACACGATTATGAAATTAAGCCCGAGCTAGAAAAATAATCAATTCTTTTAGAAACATTTATCTTTTCATGAAAAAAACAACAACAGCGTAATACTTCATAGATCAATAGTCGAGAACATCATTCCTATGTACTCTCAACCACAGGTCAATCAGTGCTTAAGCTCCCAAAAGATGGGATCGATGATAGAGAATGAAAAAGCAAAACCGTGAAACTATTAATATTAATGTGTTGTGAATTACTAAAAATAAGGAATAAGCTTGAAATAAATAAAATACTTGAAATTTAAATGAAAACATGAATTTGATACTGACGAGTGGTAAATACCGGCCATCTTGCCTAAAATCGTCAAACTAATGGTCTTAGAAGTACCATAAACGATTTAAGAAACCTACATCTGTATACAGTTTAACCAAAAACTGATAGATTCATGAGTTGGTGGCATACTTACATTTGTTTTTTAAAAAAAAAACATCTCAATGATAATCATAATACCAGGGATAGGTAGTTGGTGATTGAGTATTCTATACAATTGTTTTAGTGCCTACCCAGCTGTTAAAGATTTACAATATAATCAGTTTAAGTGCTTCCCTTATCTGTTACTCTACTCATAGTGTTGGTCTTGCTTATCCAATGCTGTTATCGTGAGAAATGTTTTGTAGATATCGATGGTCAAATATTTATGACCGACACATGTTTTATGTATTTAGTGGTTGTTTATTAGAAAATAAAAAAAACTTACAATCCTATGTTCATTCCTCAAAAACATCCAGTTCTTTCGCTTTCATGGTTTGTGGAATGAGCTTCATTGAGTTACTGTAAATAAACAGCTTCTACATGATAAAGTGCCCTCCATTTACACAAAAGTTACTTTTAAGAGAATTAATACATTATAACTATACGCTCCAAGGTGGTAATTTTTCATTGGTTTTCATGAGAATCAGTTATCATTCAGGCTGCCTTAAATCTGAAGAGCAAAACTCATTTCTGCTGCACCGCTATTTAGATACCAAAAACCCTAGTGAATCACATTAATTTATTTGTAAGAGATGATTTTATTTAATTGCTATTAAGTTGAACATTTTATGGTCCCTCAAACAGAAGTTGATGGAGCAGGGTTGGGACTTCAACTATATTGACCATTGGGCCACTATCCTATTTCCTAACAAATAACAAAGATAAAATTCAAATTAGTTATTGGAATCAATATGAATTGTTGTCATAACTACATTGTAATGACACTGCCTCTCTGTTGTAATTTGCGTCCTAGTTGTAATTATTTGGTTAGTCATCCATCTTCAGAAGATAATTTTTGTGTTAACCAACATAAGGTAAGAAAAATATGTATATAAACCACTTATTCTTACATTATATCAGTATTAAGTAAAACACATCCCATATACACGCATAACATACGAAATAAGTATTTGCCAAAAGTATGTTTTGTTAGTCAAATGATGGCCATTTTAAAGATGACGTTGCAAATCGTTGATCAAATCTTTTAACGAAAACATTTATGCTACAAGTCTATGACTTGTAGATCACCAAAGTAGATGATCTATGTCGATTGATTGGGGGCCTACTTGAGTCAGTGAGAATGATGTGACCGAAAGCTAACGTCGAAATCACACCTCACAGTCAGCACCTAACATGGATTACCCCTTCGTCGTATCAAGGTACTATGGCTGCTTTGAAGACCATACAACACAAAGGACGTTATTACGGAAATATATTAGTAAGAATGAGTACAGAGAAGATAGTGAGATCACCACCACATTGGCCAGTCTATGTCATACAACTAACTGATGCGAGTTGGTTATGCTTGACTTTGACAGGGATCAATGATCTGTTCGATATTCAGTAACTCAACTGCCGGATGATTTGGTTAGGTCTCTGTGACATTTCACTATCCTTACAAACTATTCTCATATCTACAGCTTTTGTACCGAGAAACTAAAAATCTGATCTGCTAGTCTATTTCGAAGCACATTTACGAGTTCATGTACCTCTATAGACATAAATACAATATCACTTGAAAGATGTATTAAAGAACGGTAAATAGTATGACAGATCAACGAAAAATGGTAGGTTGATCCTTAGCTTTGTTATTGGATATTTTATGATCTCAACCTCCTGCTCTTTCAACAAATTAATTCTCTAAATTTCTGTCAACTTATTCGAACGAAATTAAACTGAAACATCATTATATTGTTGAAGCATCAAAAGTAATCATTCGGTATATCTGTGGTATTCTTTCATTATATGACTTTGATCTACTATTCATTTCATAGATGTTCTCATATGATACATTAACTTTTTTTTCATTATTGATAAATCTTTACCTCAACCTTTAAGTTTGCCTATTAACTTTAGTTTCTGATGAAGAAATTTTCCAGATTTTATCTACTGAAATATTTACAAGTGTGTATACCCATGAAACTGACTTCATTGAAAATTTCATTTTTATGAAATTTAAAATAAAAATAATTTTAACGAAATTGTTAACTGTACAGTTGATGTTTAATCAAAAGGAAATCGTGGTAGATGATAAAATGATTTTATTATTATTCTTCATGAATATAGAAATGTTGATTAACTAAGTAACAGGCTGTTTGGTTTTTGAATAACATATAACTTGGTGACATGATTAAAGGTAGTCTACAAGAAACCCTGGATTTCGTTTTAATATTGTTTTCGGTGGAGTTTTTTTCTCTGAGCTGGATGGTTTGGTCGTGGAGCTTTCATCATTCTTCTGAACGACATCATCAGCACAAACTTCAGATAGAAGTGAAATGTTCAAATTTCTCCATATGTGTTTCACAGCTTGTTCTGTGCACCTCGATGTTGATTGGTTCTTATTGACCTTAAATTTATCATTGTTTACTTCTTTGTTTTGGTTTTGTCTCCCATTAGTTTGGTTTTTGTTCCTATATTTGTGCATGATTTTCCTGATTGGTTGGTAAATTGGATTGATTTCAATATGCCTGTTGATTGCTGATTGACCTGAGTGCCAGGCTTCTAAAAATTCCCTGGTGTTTTTGGAGTTTCCTCTGTCTAAGATTTCCACATTTTTCCAATCGAATGAGTGTCCGCAGTTGTCCACCTGTATTGATATAAGCGAGGAGATATCATGGCGTTTGACTGGTAATTGATGTTCATGTAGGTGAAGGTGAAGGGGGTGTCCGCTTTGTCCGATGTAGTGTTTTTCGCAGTTGGCACAATTTATTTTGTAGATGATGTTTGATTCGTTTTCCTTTATTATTTCATCCTTTGGTTTGCATAGGATTGATTGTAGTGATTTTGTCGGTTTGTGTGCCACACCTATCCCTAAGGTTTTCAGCAGTCTCGTTGCGGTTTCTGATATTCCTTGTATGCATGGTAGGGTGATCCCTTTGTTGATTTCTCTGCTTGACTTGGGTTGTGATACTGCGTGCAGTTCGCATTTTTTGATGAAATTGATTGGATAGCCGTTCTTTTGAAATACATCCGTCAGGTATTTCTCTCCATTTTTTCGTGCTGCCAGTGTACTGCAGTGTGTCCTCGCCATCTTGAACAAAGTGTGTACGTGAATAACATATAACTTGGTGACATGATTAAAGGTAGTCTACAAGAAACCCTGGATTTAGTTTTAATATTGTTTCGAATGCTTCAATAAGATTCGCCTGTAATTTTAAGTTAGGTCATTTATATCAGTTGACAAACTTCAACTTAATCGAAAGAATTTGATCAGCATTAAGGATTATATGATATACATGAAATCAGTTACTACTCAATAATCAACCAATTATAAACACATAAATCTCAATGAAATTTTATCACATCAGATTATCATGATAAAAGTATAGTGAACTAATAAACTTTTAGTTGGTAACTTAACGCTTACATCATCTATTCTATTAATGTAAAATACTAAAACAAAAATAATGAAACCCATAATTGTTGTGATGTCGATTTTACACTATAAAATAAATTCTAAATGAAAACAGAGCAAATGAATTGATGAGAAAAGGCTCTAGAATTATTTCAATACGTTAACGCGGTATCCTTATGCACTTCATCATAGATTCTTTTTCTATTTTCCTCGTTTATTGATTTTTTTGACAGGTTCAAGCATTGTATGAAATATTTCCAGATGAAGTTTTAGGCTCTGGACAATTCGGTATTGTTTATGGAGGTAGGTTGAACAAAGTTGTAAATATCCATAAAGAACAATATTGTAACAGTAATTCCTTTTTTTCTATACAAACTGTAATGTTATCATCAATGTATTCAGTCTTACTAGTTTTTGGATTAATAATACGTGTACGGGGTTTGAGATTACTGAATTTTACTCTTTGCGTTGCGAATCAACCGTAGTTGGACAGCTATTTTAAAACAGTAAGTACTGGTGAAATATTTTGTCCTTGAATCGCTGGATAATTATTTCATTCTAGTATGGAATTATTCGGCATTGCACATTCACGACACCACTAGAGTTGCTAACCTATTGATTTGAAGTTTAAGATCTGATCATGGGACCCAAAGGCCTTAGGTTCGATCCCCAGTAGGGTTGTGAACGAGCGCTATTCAACCGTTCAGTAGTTCTTAGTTTTCAATGGTTCTTCAACAAATATGAGCTCATGATGTAAAAGTTCATATTTAATAATACCCTCAATTCTTCTTAATAACAAAATATCCTAGCTATTTGTAAGTTGTTTGAAGGCTAGATACACAATAAAGATTTACATTTTGTTGTACTGTAACTAATAAGCTGTATTTTAATGACCCATTTAGACTTTTGCTTCACTAAATTTATGATTATACTTCAGGAATTTAGTGAATGCCATGAATTCAGTAAGACACATACATGGTCTCAAATACATCAGAAATCATATGGAGATAAATCTCATCAAATTAAAGATATAATTAATAGCCCTATATTTGGTGTGTAACACCGGTATTAATATATATACAAGATAACCGATTACATGTAATTGTAATTGGTTTAGTACTTTTAATACATAAAATTATTTGAATGAATGTACAGTTTTTGAATTAATCATTTCTACACTGAGTGATAAATTATCATTATGATGAGAGTTAGTGGTGATAAAATTGTATCCTTATAGCCTGGTAAAGTCATAAATAGTTAATAATTTATTAGATTTTCGGTAACTTTCAGCTTACATAAATCAGTCAGCAGTCAGTCAGCTACAACGTAGAACCAGGCACATTTATGCATCTGTCCAAGTTGCCATACCTCATTAACACAACAAGACGAACACCGGATTCATAAAAGTAGTTAATTTAGAGGTGGTAATATATAAAATAAAGATTGCAATAAGGATATAATACAGGAAGAAAGAATTAGTTCGCAGAAAGAAAGATATGAAGCGATTTTAATCTCTTAGTTTAAGGGAAGACAGAGAGTGTATACACCTACGCCATTGTGATCGATTCTGAGCCATGTCACCAAGAGTCTCCAACCATTGGTTACGATAGTCACGCGGACCTCAACCAAGTAGTCTGCATCTACCAACATGGCTCAGACTAGAAGTTAGTGACTTTGTGGACTGATGCCACGTTTTGGTTTGGCCGCCCCTAACTTTCTTCCAACCATCCCGAACGCCGGTTAGCATTGCGCATCGTGGTAATCAGTGTTCAGGCATACGTAATACGTGGCCCAACCATCTCAGTCGATGAAGATTCACAACCTCATCAACTGATTCACCATAATTCCCTAATACCCAGCGTCTAGTATTCTGCATTAAATGGTTAGATAATTGATTATTCATTGGTTTTCTGGGAAATATCATTAAGATATACTTCAAGAATGATATTATCAAGAAAGGTAACGAGAATTTCATATTCAGATTAGAGAATACATCAACTTCATGGTCATCCGTTGGAACTATTTTTTTAAATATCTTTACAATGATTGCCAGAGTGTACATTTATTATAGTGAAACGTTTAGAAAGTGATTATACAAAATAAAATATATGACAGTTACTGGTCATAAATAGACTGTATAACTAATAAACAAACATTTGACAGTACAGTTCACGAGGATATGCATGAAATATTTAAAAATTACTCAGATAATTTGTTGACTACTTAACAACCTTATAATTTGATTCTGTTGTTAACCTGAAGCCATATGATATAAAATAGTTCAATCGATGTCAAGTCACTTGAACTAATGGATAGACTTCAATTTAATCAATAGAATTAGATCAGCACTAAAGTCTAGACAGAGATAACATTGGTTACTGCTTAGTCGGTTGTACATGATGTGGAATGCAACACAAACATTCATCACTTCAAGTTACTACATCACATTAGTACAACGATATATGATTATTAGCAGTAATAGAAAACATTAGAAATATGATAGTAGCAAAATTGATTATTTTTAATAAATTACACAGAAGTGCATGAACCCTGCAAGATGTACACATCAAAATATATAAACTAGTTTTTAGTCAATAGATAGTTATGCACAGAAATATTTTGTTGTAATTTTTATATACTAATTTCAAAACGATTTTTGGTTTACGAATAATAGTGAGGTAATATCTAATTTAGAAAACAATAATAATGGTATTTATATATGTTTACAACAGTCGGATATCATTACTGTTGACGGTTTTTAAGGTCAGAAGAACCACTATTTATTTATCATAATAACTTGTATGAGTATCTTTTTTAATAGCTATAAAACAAATCTAGAATAAATTACAAAACAGTAGACTGTCAAGTTGAGTAAATGATTCATTTTAACCGTTATTACATCAACTTTCTTTAAGTTGGTAGGTTTATAACTCAATATTAGTTTACTACATTACTATAACTACAAAGAATTTCGAGAGCCGAAGATGGTTGATTCAACTATATAATAATTCAAACGATTTATAATGTTGGAATGAATCAGTCATTCAGTGATTCCTGGTTATCCAATAAATATCAGTCTTGAAGTGTATATATATAGGTGTAATCATATCATTGATAAATTATCCATGTTTTCATAGGTATACATCGTAAGACGAAACGTGAAGTGGCCATTAAAGTTATTGACAAATTACGATTCCCTACTAAAAGAGAGGCGCAACTAAAGAATGAAGTATCCATTCTGCGTGTAAGTATTTAATAATAATAATAATTTTATGATAAAATTACATAATAGTACTTCATAAGTTAGTTTATACATTCAAAGTAATGATTATACTGATTTTCATTTTAGTCTAGTTGTGATAAGATGTTTTGTAGTTAAAAGATTTATTTTCTAACCAGTAGTTTGTAAGTTCAATCCCGACTCAAGTTATTTTCGTGTGAACAACTGGTCGAAAGTACTAGCCCTCAAACCAAGTCTATGACTTAAACCATTTACTCGGGAGATGAGTCACATTTCTGGACATAAAAAAGCATGATTACAATCCACAACATCAATGTGTTAGACATGGATTTTATAGACCATCCACAAATCTATGACATTGGAAATTGACTACTAAGCTTACTTATTGCCCGCCAAGTGAAAAAAAAAACGCTATCAATTCATAACTGTGACAATCATGAAAACACTATTTATTATACATTAAAACTTCATGATTTGAACGAGGTTTGAATGAATGAATGGACTGAACCGCTCTCGATAGGTAATATCCAACGATACTATTTGATCGATTGACAGGCATGTCCTCAATAAACTGATATCAGAAGACAAAATAGCTTTTAAGTAAAAACGGGTTTTCTATGTAATAAATGCTTATCTAGAAAACATTAATACAAAATAAGTACGACTATATGATGTAAAAACGATCGGATGTCAATTTTGTGAGTCGTTTACTCTTCAACGAATTAAGATCTTTCTCATTATATTAACACTGAACTAAATTGATTCAGTATTCCACCAAATCAATAAAGAAAAATGTTTCATCACATTTTTAGGTAGGTAGAACAGATTTACAGTTGCTAAAGAGCCGGGAAATCTGATAAGAATAACTTTGGGGAATATTCATAATTATAAGTATAGTAACGATGGTATATGGTAGTAGATGAGTTAAACGGGCAAGATTGTGAATTTTGTTTTCAACTTGTATAACAGGTGTCGAGTATGGAGATAAAAATTCTGGATGGGTACTCGCACAACTCACATACATCCACTATCTGCATTGTTTAAAAATAGGATACTGTTTTCAGTAACGTAATTACAATTTAAAAGCTGATAATCTACAGATTGACCACCAGGTTAATAGTTCAACGTAACCTTCATTGTGACTTGACTATAGCCTCAATTAACAATTTAAGTGAATGATAAAATTTGTAAAATCATCAAGTACTTTACAGATTGCAAATATCTTTTTCTATAAGTCAAAATATTTGAAAATGCATTCCATACAGCATATTCTCAAAATTAACATTAAGGTTAGTATGCCAAGGGCAAATGAATAACTATATGATCAAATCGATGCCAATCAGTAAGTTAGCTCATTTTTGCAGCAATTAACTGCGAAGATAACACAAATATTGGTTTGAGCAACATACAACTGTCATTATCCATCAGGTCGAAAGTGCGGCTTAAAATCGAGTACACAAACTGTACATGGTGAAGAATATATAAAATCTGGCTTAGAGTAACATTTGTCATAAGAAATTTGACGAACACTACACAGCTATCCCAATCGAAGTACAGTGAAATTTGAACCAGATGAATGCACACTGTTCAGTACCAAAATGTTTGATAAAATGATGTTGATCTTACTGCATTTGTTCATTTACCACAACTAATTATTTGCATCACAATTGGGAATGACCCAGTTACTTATCTGAAATCAGTTATTTAATTTTCGCGATTACAAACTAGTATATCTTCCTTATAAATCGAATGATATATATCGCAAATAAATCTCATGAATGACGATTTCCTTACCTGGTAATCTGACATCTTAATTTTTGGATGACCACGTCAAGCTGTTAATAGAGTGACGAAATTACTCAAAATATTTATATGGACACATAAAGTAAAACATCTATGCAGTGATATCGGGTTGTAATGAACATAACCTAATTTTTTATGTAACGGCCAGTGATGTAAACCTCGAAATGAAGAACTTCACCGAGTTACTCATGAGAAAATGTGCGAACTACCAATGATAAGTTGTGGCTGAAGCTCAACCATAGCAGGCATGAAACAAGTATCGCCGATGGTAGGTGCGCATTATCGCGAACTGACTGTGGTACAAATGCAAACCGAACAACATTTATCACGAAGGGCATGTTGAATCCTTATTGTCGTCAGTACCTGCTGTCATCCGTTCCCATGCTAAAACAAAATAGGAGTCCAGTGGCCTTTCAGCAGTTATCTAAATTTGTCAAGGCATACAGGCAATCTATATTCGACTTCGATACTCGTGATGTCCTGAAGCAGTTATTCTCTATTCATGATTTTGTTTTTCTCTAAATTTAATCACATGTTAGAGGATGTTAAACGTTTTATTAATTGTTGTTTTATAGAATCTTAATCACCCTGGAGTGGTAAATCTTGAAAGAATGTTCGAAACACCAAAGCGCGTAAGTTGTCGAAATTTTGAGTGCCATTGTGACAATTTCCTAACGGATAGCAAACAAATAAATGTACCGATTTTATGTGCGCTCCATGCGAATATCTTAATAAGTACAGTCACGTGAATAAGATGAGCAATCGAAACTATGGAGGGTAACCATGAGACAATCCTATCCTGGTTATGAGTTCTGCGTATGACCACTAAACATAAACTCCATGTTAACGGATAAACACCAAAGACAATAATGACAACAATTACTTATAATAAGATTTTGGGTCTTAATATATCTCTGCACTACCCGTACGACCTCATCCGATCGATTGATATTTCTACAGTGAGTATACATTCAGTAAATCTAAAACTAAACACTAAAAGTTCAGAAATACTATAGGCTGAAGTAAAAGTACACTGCACATATTACTATCAAGACATTGTTCGGTTCAAAACTTACATATGACTGAACAGAGGAACATATAGATTCAGCAGGCAGCCAAGACAGGATGCAGTAAGATTTATTTGATACTCATAATTGATGAGACAAGTGGGATTTTACAAATGGTTAGACATTACTTCTAAGTATAGTGTCTTACACAGCTGTTGGTCTCGAATCTGCTTTGCTAAATGACAGAGGAATTCGGATTTCGCCCTCTAGTTCGCAAGCCATAACCCCTTCTGAATGTCAGTTTGAGCGACTATGTGGTAATGTAACTCGTGGTCATCTACCTGTAGAGTGAGCTAATAAACTGAATTTAGTTTCTTAATGTACTCTTTTTTTTCTCTGAAGTGGCTTACTCGGGGTCACGAAGCGTCAGAAAATTTAATTTAGTTAACTCATCATAATCAATTCACTAACAGAGTCTGTGTTTGGACGTTTTATTCTTCAGGTATTTGTGGTAATGGAAAAACTAGCAGGTGACATGCTGGAAATGATCCTTGGATCGCCACAAGGTCGACTGACAGAACGAGTTACGAAATACCTGGTGACACAAATACTAGTTGCTTTGCGATATCTCCACCTGCGAAGCATAGTACATTGTGATCTCAAGCCAGAAAATGTCCTACTGGCTATACCACCTAACACAGATGTGAATAATATGGGACTCCCAGAAGTTTCTCAGGTAAGATGTGTAAGAACCTCGGATAACACCTATGCCATTAAAAAATGGCAGCATAAGCAAGCATACGTTGCGGTGGTGAGCAGGTGATTACACCGACCGTAATACGGCCACTCAAATGTCATCCAAAGCAGCACAAATACCACGTCGCTTCACCCCGCAGAAACAAGAACAGATTGCCGTCATGTGTTTATGTGCAACCAAATTAAATTATCTATGGTCAAAAGAGCAGGAAACTGCTCTCCTTGAAACTTAACCCCCATCCCATTTTTTTCTATTTACAGAGTGTAGCTCAACAGTTTCCCCAGATCAAGCTGTGCGACTTTGGATTTGCAAGGATTATAGGCGATAAGTCCTTCAGGCGATCGCTGGTTGGTACACCAGCATACCTAGGTAAGTTAAGAACTTAAGTCGTAATAAAAGGTGGTCTTAGAGATTTGAGAAAAGATCATGGGATTACAAAGATGACACTCCACTTTTTATTTCAGCTCCTGAAGTACTGAAAAACCGTGGATATAACCGAGGGATCGACATGTGGTCTGTTGGAGTGATACTTTATGTAAGGTAAATCAGATTATGTCGAATCTAGTTAACGTGCCTGAAATTGGTAGTCTTAGTGGGACATTCCCGTTTAATGAAGAGGAGGATATAGCCGAACAAATAGAAAATGCCGAATTTATGTATCCAAGTGACCCGTGGGACAACATATCTGAAGACGGTAAGACCCACTTTAGGAAATATATGTATTCTTATAAGCCATACACCTAATAACACATTTGCTGCAAGTACGTCTCCGAAACCGATTCTCCGTTGAGAGAAGCCTTAACCACATTTGGATGCAGGTAAGCTCATTCAATACGCAACTAAAAGCGATTAAATTTACGGAGGTATAAGTACCCGCCAGCTCAACTCTTAATCTAAAATAAACCAACTTGATTTCTAAAACTGAGCTTTACCGTTTTGACAGGACTACATATGTTGGTGCGATTTACGTCGGTTGGAAGCCACACTCTCAAATGAAAGTCGGTTTCTTACTGCAAATGCAGATGATGCACGGTGGGAAAGATATCGTGAAAAGTGGAACAGCGAGATTGATGCAGAACCAAGGAACCGTGTTTCCGATCAGACGTCATGCAAGCTTCCTACATGGAAGGAACTCGCTTGGAGAACTGACATAAATTTTTAGCTCATATACTTGCAACCAAATGAACTTGTACGAAACCCATTGTGATATAATAAAAAACTTTTAATGATTGATTTGTAACACTTGTGCATAATGGACAGGACGAGTGAGACAAAAAGATAGCACAATGGAAATGTGAAACAAATTAGAGTTCAACTAAATGTATTACGAGGAATTAAGTCCATAAATCAATTTTAGCGATAACCGGTGTAATATTGACTCATTGCTGGCGGAGCGGCAGCAGTTGGGACCCCACCTGGAGGAGCTCCGCCAACTGGGATAGTACCATATCCAGATGGGTAAGTAGAATACCCAGGGTAATAGCTTGCATAAGGATTTGCGGCTGGTGTCTGTGGCGTTACTGTTGCGGTTGGAGCACTTGGGACGCTACTGGATACGCTACCCGACACAGCCGAAGGCTGTTGCTGTTGTTGCCAAGCATTAAATTGTTGTGCAGCAACCATCGCTGCATCATACTTCCCAGCTCCTTGAGTACTTCCTGTAGCGCTTTGAGGAGCACCATAGTAGTAGGAGGCATAAGCCGCTGCAGCCGGTGTCGAATGGTCAGATGTGGCAGTAGTAGTGGCGGCGGAAGAAACTGCTGGCGCGGTTGTCTGTTGAGTTAGTTGAGGTTTGTCAGCAACAGCTGAGGCATATAGTGACTGTTGGGTGGTACCAGTGGTGGGTGCACATCGACTAACCGTTGCAGATGGTTGAGCAGTTTGCGACCCGTATGTACCATATCCGTACCCATAGTTGTAAGCACTATAAGATTGACTAACGGGAGGGGCGCTTGCATTACTACTTCCATCAGGTTTTGTATTCTGAGTAGAATAACCATACCCGTAACTTTGTGGTTGAGCTTGCTGAAAAAAAAATTAACGAGCTTCATAAACGAGGTAGAAAGATAAACATTATCAGGGCAAGGATGAGCATTCTTCAAACGTTAGTAAGCGAATGGCATTGGTAATCATCATAACATGGTTAATAGGAAATGCTGTTTTATCATAATATCAGGTTTAATAATAGTCTAGAATGGATAATCTTATAATTTACCTGGATAGATGTTGCAGTTTGTTGTACTTGAGGTTGTGGTCGATTAACTGGCTGTGATGGTGGGTTATAAGTAGTGCTCTGTACGGGGGCAGCTGGAGGGATCGGTTGGGAAGCAGGGGGTCCAACATCGAACCGACTGCGTCCAGTTCTAGGACCTCCGGGAGGATTAGATGGTTGGATAGCTGCTTTTTGATTACCATTTGAAGTAAATCCGCCTGGATAACTGGATCCCAAAGGATAGCTGTTATAGGCATTTGTTTGGGAAGGAGTATTAGTTTCTGGTTTGGCATCAAAACGCGACTGTCTAGGAACGGGAGGGATACTGGTAGCAGAGGGATGATTGTCGGAATAGCGAGCAGCACCAGATGCATACAAACTAGAACTATCTGTACTTGAATGTTCATTCTGTGACATGGTTGTTTTATCAGGATCACTGGTACCATAAGCATGGGATCCTCCAAAAGGACCACCTGAATTTTGTTGCATTCCAGGTCTCCCAGATCTGTCTGATGCCATACCTCCACTGTAAGGATCTGAGCCAGGATTTGTGAAATTACCTTGATCACCAGTATATGAGTTGGGATAACTAGAAGCAGAATTAGGATTCCCATATGAAGGGAGATTCCCTCGATTGTAACCCCCACCAGGTGCATTTGGATATCCTGCTGGACCACCGGAGAACGGGGGATTGCCTCTTTGGTAGGCAGAATAACTACCACCAGAAGGCTTTTGCAATGCGTTTGCGTTGTAAGGACCTGGTCCGCCAAAACGTCTGTTCCGATAATCATCATTTGGTGGCCCTGGATATTGCTCCTCAGCCGGGTTTTGATAACCTTCCGCACCACCGTACATATTATACTGTTGGCTATCATCGGAAAATCCACCAATCATGTCGCGATCAGGCTGAGTACCACCACGACCGGAAACGGGTGCGTTGCGGCCCAGTTGACTACGATCAACACCCCTGTCAGTATTAGCTGCACGTCCTGGAGCGATTGCTCCACGTCCCATTGACGTTCCACCACGACCGGGGGCTCCACGAGATCCCTGCATTTGAACACCGCGGCCACCACTTCCGTACCCTCCTCTAAAGCCTCCACTCATTGGGCCACCTGAAATATACATATATAGAGATATAAATGGGGGACAAAATGATGGAAATGTGCTGCAGCATAATCAGAGATAACGTACCTTCATACGGCGGCTGAGAAAGTGAGGCTTCGTTCATATCATAGGCGTTGCCAATTGGCTCTCCATCACCTGCATTGCCATCAAAGCGACTGTACATTGGGTCATTTGGTCCACCATAACCTGGGTTCACCCGGTCCATAGAACCACGGTAGGCACCCCGTCCAGCACGCGAATCAAAATTCGGTGCCGGGAACCCGCCTCTTGCAGGATTACTCCTCATAATGCCACCGCGGGAACTGTCGAAACCTCCAAAACCACCCGGGCCAGACATCCCACCTGGGAACGGTCCGCGATTCGGAGCCCCGAAACGACCACTAGGAGGACCACCACCAAACCTTCCACTGGGCTGACGACCAAACGACTCTCGGTCGCTATCTTGAAAAACGCAGGGGAAAACAAAGTATTATGAAGAGACCGAATAAGTAATGAATCTTAAACTGTTATCAATAACTGTCACTTACTACGATCGAAGCGATCTCCCTCACGACTACGATCACGGGAGGCATTGTAACCACCTCTGAAAGATAAAGAGAAATTGTTGAGAAGCCTGGAATCACTAAATCACATCACGTTTACTTCTAACCACATCAATTTTTACCTGTAGTCACGGCGACCACGATCATCATTCCGGCGGTTTGGAGAGCTTCGAAAATCATCACGTCGTCCACGTGGCATGTCACGACCACGATCTCGGCTATCCCGTCCGCGGAAACGTGAATTACGTGAGTCATCCCGGTCACGGTTCCCACCATCCCAACGTTGGCGCTTTTCCGGTGGTTGCCTGTTTGCCTGTCCTTCTTGATTGTATTGAGCAACTAGGACTTTTACATCATCCAGACCAAGTTCGGTAAAGATAACCTCATCAAAAACGCTAGAGGGATCTTCAGATACAGGTCTAGGAATCCCGAAATTTGCTGAAAGAGAAAAATTATTCCTTCTGACTTAGCTGGAACATGAAATCGTTTACAAGGAAAAAATCTAAAACAGCACATAAATTGAAACAAGTAAATGAAAGTAACCGTGTCTTTTATTTAAATATATTCGAACAACTGATCAGTAATCACTCGCTAGGTTTACTTTCGATCGACGAAATATAACCTAGACGCTTGAGTAGTAGAGAACCACGTTGTTTTTCCGGGCAGCATATTGTGAACGATTAACAAATGCTTGTTTTTTGGTAATAGTATGTACAGTTTGGTAGGATCATTTTGTAACTGTCACATTATGATGAGTCTACTGACTTTTTATGGTTTGAAAAGGAAATTTAGCTATCGTTTACTGCAGAAATAAAAAATTCCACATTTAATTGGCATGCTTAAAAGGGTGGATGAATAAAGTCAAATCAGATTTTACTGTGATTTCAACTATCGCTAAAAAGGACAGAAAATACCGACCCTACGGTACATTAAGCTATAGTTTTGATTGGTCAGAACCTGGGTGGGAAACAAATACAAATACTCAACATGAATAAACACTAAAATAATTGAGAAACCCATAATTACTCGCAGTCTAGAGAAAGCAAGAAATCAGCAAGTTTGACTCCGACCGCCTTTCCCAGTGAACACTATGAATTGAAAACACAAGGTCAAATGACGGACTCATGGCAGCTCAGTCAGTCATCTACAACATAAGACCAGACAGCTGCTATCTCTTGATGCGAGTAACTACAGGTCACACAAAAACAAATAACTAGCTGAGACTTATCTGTAAACTACCAGGCATTCCGGATTGTATCAGCCCATACAATTGCATTTCTATGATGGAAACTTCGAAGATTAACTATCGAAAGAACTGTATTCCTTTCTAAATAGATACACATTTACATACTACCAATTACAGAACGATTATTGTTCAACAAATACTAAATGAATGCAAACAAATTTGTAAGCACTTAAGTATTCATCAAAATAGTACAATAGGATTTACCAATTAGTAGACCCAAGTATAAAATAGAACGCAGATTCATTAAAAGTAAATCCAAGGAAAACTTGCAGGACTTTATACCACCATTTCCAACAAAGAAAACTACCTTTCATCTCGAGAACTGCAGTTTCAGGCACTTCTTTGCCCTCCTCTTTTTCCCGTTGGGCAATTCGCCGCCTGAATTCTTCGTCAGTAGGAACGATAACAATGGCCTTTCGCTTGAAACCTTCAAATGGACGCATTTTACGGCGCTGTGCTGACGGGTACACATTTGTCTGTGATTAGGTTCAGGAGATGGAACCGAGCGAATGAGAGAAAAAACGAAGTTATATCAGTGCCACCACCAGGAATAGATAATTGTGCGCATTTGTACGATGGACCAAATCCAGTTGCAAGGTACATACCAAAAATGCAAAGCAAGTAAGGTACCTTGCATGTAAATTCGGACAAAATTATACATGTTCATTAACATGTACTTCGCCAAATTAGTCTATTGCAGCAGAACCAATCTAAGAAAACCATCATTCGAGCAAACTGATCAAGAACATCGGTACATTTAGTTTGAACAGCTGTTCGACCAGTGCTCATATGGGGTGTCTTAGAACGGAGACCACTGAATACAGTTTAATAAAACATATAGTTCATAAGCACAAATTGATAATTAACAATAAAAACAAACTTGTAATACATATTGGTAGGAAATTTAATACCTTAAAATACATTACAGAAAACTAGAAATGTCTACGATTAACCCCTACGACTCGTCCACTAATTTAATGTATTGAAATCCCTTGGGAATACTATAACTTTAGAAAATCTACTGATACCATTAAATTAGTCTATGAGAAATAACTGACCTGATCCAAAATGTAATTACGACGGCGCATACACGCCATACTGATA